ACTGCTGAGACTGTTGAGACTTTTAAATCTCTACTTAAAACTCACTTTTACTCCCTGGCCTTTCATTCTGGTAGAGTTTGAGATTATTTTAATGATAATGTTTTTAATGTTTTTCTGTATTTTAAATTGATTTTACTGTCTATATTTATGTGTTGCTCAATTGTTTTATTCATTTGGCTTAATTATGAAGCACTTTGGCCAATTTCTGTTGTTTTTATGTGCTATATAAATAAAATTGACATTGACATTGACATTGACATTGAAGCTCTGATGTTTGTGTCAAGAAATCGCAAAAGTGTTTCAGAAGTGCTGTCTGAGTTAGATCCGTTTGGCAAAAGTCCCATGATCAGTGACGTATGAAACTTCAAAACAGCTGAAGTCTCTCCTTTAGCACCTGATTCAAAGGTTTATGAGGGAGTAAATCATTGGCCCGATTTGTGGTGTTTTAGTGGCAAATTTGCAAAAAATAACAAACCAGCGAGTGACACATATGAGATGGAGCTATAAACGGCCTTATCTGTTTTATATGTCCAGTTTATCAAAATACAAGCAGAAAAATAACAGAGACACTATATGTATGTATATTACAATATAATCTTACAGTAAACAAAAACGGGCTATTTACATGAAGTCATGAAGGCATGGAGATTACAGGTTCAAACTTATATTTTGGCCACAAAATGGCACCAACAAGGACCGTATTCAAAGGCTTTGAATAAACCAAGCTTCAATCAAGCCGACATTAATGGAAGAGCAGACCTGACTGTGACACTGAAAACAATAAAGCACTGCAGGGGAGTAGTGAAGCATGGTCTGAATATATGGAACAGAGGTAATTGCAAAGTGGAGGCATCTGAGTTTCTTGTTGACTGGAAACAGGAGAGAGTGGCAGGCTGACTGGGAAAACCACTGAGGAGGAGCGAGAGATGGGAAAACAAAAGACTGATCTAATAACAGGTAACAGAACTAAACACTGGGATCCAAATATAGAGAAGACAAAATGGCAGGGGAAAATCTATAAACCAACAAGAGTGTTTCCTCTACCACCCCACTCCATCTTCCAATTTTTAAGGAGTTGTATTAGGAGCATAATTTTGACATCTTTTTTTCAAATGTTCTACCACGATGAGTTTCAATGCTATATTGTGTCACATCTTCATAACTTCTCCTGCCCTTCCCGCTGTATGTCAAGCATAGCAAAGCATATTAACGATTGTAGTTGGATTTTTTTTCACCAGAGTTGGAAAAACTTGTTTTTTCCCCCTGTTAACTATGGAAATGGAAAGAAGTTGTGGACATTCGCTTGCTCTTAATATAATAATAATAACAATAAGTCCATCTTGCTAATTTAACAATCGACTTCTGTTCAGCAGCTCACGGGTATGGCAGGCCATTTTTACATGTAATCAGCTTCACCTCACTTACATTCCAGTTATCTGAAATTGGTTTATGTTATCTTTGACTTATTAGTTATTTTTGTCATTTAAGTGAGACAAATATGAGATTCAACTCATATATGTCAAATGAAATTGCAGACCTGTTCATATTTTGTCCTTGTTATTTAGAAAAAGCTGCACATTCTTAATAAATACTACAGTAGTGATGTTTCTGCTGTTAATAATCATTCGATGGATGGATGGATGGATGGATGGATGGATGGATGGATGGATGGATGGATGGATGGATGGATGGATGGATGGATGGATGGATGGATGGATNATGGATGGATGGATGGATGGATGGATGGATGGATGGATGGATGGATGGATGGATGGATGGATGGATGGATGGATGGATGGATGGATGGATAATATCACTTATTGAATTGTTCTGTTAGTACAATGGCCCTGATGTAAAAAAAATTAAACAATCAATAATTTCACTGTTATCTTCACTAAAACTACTTAATTAAAAATATTTTATGCTAACACACTAAATCATTCTATATCAAACTGGACTGGATTATAATTGAGAACTAAATTATTTCAGAGGTTAGATTAAATTGGAAACAAACTTTCTTTTCTCCTGAGGACTGTAAGAACCAGATTCTTATAAATAAACTCGACGAGATAGAATTAAAACCATTTATCAGTTTACAGCATGGATTGAGGAAAGCCACAAAAAGACAAACAAAAACTTCATGAAACATAACATTTACATGCAAAATACTGTAATAAGTCAAACAAATCAGTTTAATTTTAACACCTTTGACAAAATACACGAAGGCAAAAAAAAAGCTGCATTTTTCTAAACATGACATTTGAAAAAGACTTTGTAGAAAATAAATAAGTATATACTGTATTTCAAATGAAACACACCAGAGCTCTACAATTTTCGAAACACAAAATCTAGTATAAAACACAAAGAAAATATCTTTTTGCAAAACACAGAAAAGGCACATTTCATAAAACATAGCTGTTTTTGGAGATCATTTAGTTTGTGTTACTCAACAGTATTGTCATTTCATGTTCGGTGAGCGAAATCCCACGTATTTATGAAAATATTGGGGACCTTGCTGATGGAAGTAATCAGTAAACACCTCAGCTGCAAATCTCCTGAAAGAATCAGATTCCCTGCAGCCCTGGAAGGAGAACAAAACTGGCAACAGAGAGTGCCAAAATGTGAAATGTCAGAGATGGACAGAGGTAAATAGAATAACAAACTCAAGTGAGCTGTAAATAAAAAAAATAAATTACAGTCTATGGCAGTGGTTCCCAACCTTTTTTAGAGTTGTATACCCTCTGAGCCATTTTGTCATACCACTAGTACCCCTTCAGTCAAATGTAATGATAATTCTCCAAAACTATAATGTACTACAACTGATTATTAAATGAATTATTTATTTAAAGGCACAGTGCGTAAGATTTTGTGAATTCGTTTAGCCTAAATTGAGATAATCACTAATGACAATAATAAAAAACATCATTGCAGACAAAGACCTTGTTTTATTATTTTTACCTTATAAAAAGCTGTTTATATCTCCATGGTCGCGGGTCGCCACTACAGGCAGCCGCCATCTTGCACCGCCATCTTGTCTACGAAGGCTCATGAAGAACAAACTGCGGTGGCGGCGTCAAAAAACAGTTTTAGTTGTAAAACTATAAATGTAATATTTGTTGTCTGTCATTGTAGCTGGGATAATTTTACTTATTAAAGCTCATAATCTTACCACTTGAAACATCACTAGCCCTGAAGCTGCTGGTAGACATCGAGGTTGGAATTATCAAAGGTTTTTGACACCTGAGAGACACCGTAGCAACTCCTTTGTGTTTGGAAGTGGGGGTGGGGGTGGGGGGAGGACCAGGGAGGATGATTCAACCACTCAACCACTAGATGTCGCTGAAAACAACAAATCCTACACACTGTGCCTTTAACCCCCTAGAATGTTTAATTATCAGGCTTTTTATTATTTTTTCAACTCAAATTAAACATAAAGATAAAAATGTTGCCTTGAAAGTGAATAAGTAATTAAATAAATAAACCATGTAATGGCAGGTGCAGAAAACAACAGCGTCTAAAATACATTGTATTGTCCAAAGTATGTCAGAAACTCACCCAAATGAGCAAATTCTGTGAAATTCAATGTTTTGTTTGTTTGTTTGTTTGTTTGTTTGTTTGTTTGTTTGTTTGTTTGTTTGTTTGTTTGTTTGTTTGTTTGTTTGTGAGTGGTAGACCACAAGTGAAACCAAATATTTCATAGACTGAACCACACAAACAGATTTCCAAAGTTATTTTTTAACAGCTGTATTCAAACTAAATAGAAATTTTGAATAGAGTCCACCTCTGCTTCCACACAGATCAACATCTCTTCATGTAAATTTTGTTAATCTACGGTCAGTACGTACTGTTTCCCCTTCTTTGCTGGTATCATACAGTCAGCAAAATTGTCGGAGCATTTGTGTCCTGATAGCCTTTTTTTTATTTTATTTTCTATGAGTACCAGCATTTATTTGTTTTTGTGCCCAATGAGGAGGGATATGTGCAGCTGCTTGGAGGAAAAGTGCTGCACCCAGCTTTTTTTAAAAAGGTACTCTGACTTTATTTTTACAGCTGCTACAACCACTTATGTTTGAAAACATCTGACATTATCAGAATGGCCCTGATGTCATTGTATTTTATTTTTTAGACAACCAAAATATAAGCTAACCAAAGTGAACATGTCTGTCTTGTCTGTGAAGGAAAAACCCCATTTATGGGAGCAGATTAGGAAAACAGTAAATGTTTCTGGGAATAGGATTAGCCTTTAATCTGATGACAAACTGTTTCAGTTTGTCAAAACTAAAATGGACGGTACTTTGTCTTATTGATGACAAGCACTATGCAGCCCTCTGAAGAGAAACCACTAAAAACAGTCTAATATTTAACTTAAACAGGCTAAATCCTGAGCACAGAGACTCTGATCTAAAAATAGTGTATGTAAAAATAAATAAATAAATAAATAAATAAATAAATAAATAAATAAATGAGAAATTTTACATCAGAGTATGTGGCAGTGAGTGTTCATCAGATGTTAGATCTGTCTTACCTTCCTTCAATGTTTCCACAGTTTTCTGGTCCATTTTCGTATCATCAAAGTATTAAACTTTGTGCACAAGCACTGGTTTTCAACTACTGGATGCAAAAGCTAATCTTTTTTGATGACCCTGTGTTAGCAGCAGTGGCTAACAGCTACAACCAACTAGAGATGATCTCGGTGCTGCACTTTCACCTGCAGTTTCGCCTTTTGCAGCTTCTGCCCAAAACCTGTGGAATGGTGGAATACATTTTCTGCATACAGACCACTGAGACTGTCAAAACTTTTAAATCTATCCTTAAGAATTATCTTTACTTCATGAATTGTAAAACACTTCTGTCAACTGTTGTAGTTTTATGTGCAAAATAAATACATTTACATAGATATCAACAATAATAAATTTTTGACATTTTTAGTTTCATAGCAATGCATGAAAAATAGATAATCCCCAACCCTCACTAAATACCTGTTTTTCTTTGGCATCCAGGTGAGACCAGTGCAACCCTGTCACGCCCACAGCGCCCCCTTTCGGCCCGGACAGCCCACCATGCTCCGGCGCCTATGAAAGGGTACCATGTCAGCCGTAGCATGTCCCAGCACTCCTCTAGTGGTGGCGGAGGAGGCCCCTGCCACTGTACTCCTGAGGACTGTGACGGCCTGGGCAGAGACTACTACCATGGTCAAAGCGATGGCCACTATTACCCACCAGGAGGTCCAGCTGAGGCACTGGCACTGGAGAGGCATCACTCCCATTCCCATGCACACTCACACTCCCATAGCCACTCTGGAGGGGGAACCTTCCCCCGATCACACCCGAGCCAGCACCCACCTCTTCAGTCCTTCGACTCTTGCGAGGAGTGCCTATCCTCAGGCCACGGAGCGAAGATGCACCGCATTCCCCCAAACCTGATGGACCAGTTTGAGAAGCAGGTACCCTTTCACCCTGATGGCTTCCACACGCTGCAGTATCAGCGCACTGCGAGCGGGGGCACCGAACAACGTAGCGAAAGCCCATCGCGTATTCGCCACTTGGTCAATTCTGTTCAGCGCCTTTTCGCCAAGTCCCATTCCCTGGAGGCGCCATCCAAACGGGAGTACAATGGCACGAGGGGAGGTGGCGACTACCGAGGTGAGAGAGGGGGAGGACACCGGAGCGGAGGGGAGGACAGCCACCATTCGGGCCACCAGTCTCGCTCCACCAGGAGGAGTAAGTCTCGAGAGCGTAGCAAGAGTGGAGACTCGCGGCATGAGTCGGGCAGACGCCATCGTAGCAGGACAGCGGGTTGGTGGAGCTCTGATGACAACCTGGACAGCGACAGCAGTTTCTTGGTCAGCGGGGGTAGACGGGGGTATCCCAGCGGACACGAGAGTCTGGATGCTGCTATCCAGGAGCTCACCATGAAGAAGCCAAAGGAGCGCAGTGGTGGACCGGGCTCTGGCGAGTGCATGGCATGTACCACTATGGCTCTAGCTGGAAGTGAGGGAGGAGGACACCATGGGCACCATGGGCATTCTCTGAAAAGGAGCACCTGGTCAGCCATGACAGTGAGTCAGGCCAGAGAGGTTTACCCTTCCACCAGAGGGGGCGCCTATGAAAAAGCCCTGGTGCCCATGGACAGTAAGCTGAAGGAGAGGACCTTCCACTATCTGCAGGTATGTGAACATCTTTATTGTCAACAAATGTACACCATATGTGACCAAACCACCGTCTCCTCCCATGTTTGTTTCAAATGTGAACAGGCACAATGATATGCTGTAATACTGTAAAAACATGACTCACTGGACATTATTTGTTTTTGCGACACTGATACCCACAATACACCCACACCTTTAACATTTTAGGCAATCAAACATGTCGATTTACATGAAGCTTTTTGCTCATAAAACTATCCATCCATTTATTTTATTCGCATTTTTTCCCCCAGATCCCAGGGGAAGCTTGTGCCTAACTCTAGCAGTCAATGTGCAAGAGGTGTACACCCTGAATAGGTTGCAGGTTGTTAGAAAACAATGGTTTACTTGCACCATATTTACCTGCCGCCTCAGACAATCTGTGCCCCACGTCACACGTCTAATCTCGGAAGTTTTCCAATGCCGATTTACTCAGTTTGTGCACATAAATCTCCTAAAATAATAATAAAAGGTAATTGCTGCCATAGAGTACCTTTTTAAAAGCCAACTGAGAGAGCACAAGTAGACAAAAAAAGAGAAAAAAATACACTGAAACCTCCAGCTGTGTTCAGGTAGAGCTGCCATGGAGGCTGTGTTTCTACAGAAACAGCAGGTAGTCACCAGAGTCCCTGGTGTTTTTCCAACTCTCATCCATCAGACACAGCTGAGGTTTGCTGATAGAAGCGAGAGCAGAGTTTGTGCGTGTTACTGCTCTCAGAGGATAAACCCTGCACAATTCACCTCCGTGCCTCGGGCTGCCATCACATTCACACCTCTGGTCACAAGGAGAACTTTCCCGCTGCACTTTTTTCTCCTATCTTCAGTCGTCAGCGGCTGCGGAGAAGAGGGTCCAGAGAGAGGGGGGGTATTGAGTGAATGATGAGATTTGCTGTGGCCTGCCAGGCTGATCCACAGCTCTAACACTGGCAGGTGCGTTGAGCTGCCCAAATACAGATTTTCAGATCTGTTCTACCAGGACTAGACTTTTAAATCTGACTTTAAACAAAAATACTTCTTTAAGTGATTGCTTGTTTTGACAAGTTGGTTAAGTGGGGTTCCATGTATTATGAGTGTATGCATGCCCCACTTTCAATAGACAGCAGTCATTCTGCTCTTTATGGAACAATATGTACTTAGCCACCGTGCAAGAAACAAACACGGACCTTCTTGCAGAAAATAAAGGCAGGCTATGTAAACATGTAGCTGTAAAAAGAAACCCACAATGATTTGAAGTGTGCTTTTCAGTTGCCCCTGCTTTGAATAGCGCCACAACTCTCCACCCTCAGTACAAAATCACCACAATAACGACACAACTGTGTTTATTACTCCCTGACAGCAGTCCTAATGAGACGGGCAGACAATGTGTCACTGTGTTTAAAACTGTTCTGAGCTGTAGGTGGCAGCTACACTTTAGGTTTCTTTAACAATGATTTTTCTTGGGAAAGGTGAATTCAAAGGGAAAATTTTAAGGAAGGAGGTTTGGTTTTATATTGTCACATAATTTACTAGACTATCTCAGGGGATCAAAAATAATTTGTCTAGCAATGGCTTTATGGTGTTTTTATAGTTTTTGTAGTTTTTAAAGGTTTTAAAAATCGAATATTTTTTTACTTATTTTTCTTGTAGCTTTTTTATTCATAACTATTTTGGATTGTTTCTACTGACCATTCCAACTAAATCGGTTGTTGATTGCGGCAAAAACAAAAATATGTCCTTTGTCCTGATAAGAGCGAAAATGTCGGGGCCTTTTCACCCAACTTGTTCAGCAGGGTCTGATTTGCCTTTGTTGCAGTATCCTTTGTGAAATAACTGAGGAGAGCTGAAGTCAGTCACCTCTGAAGGTGTAATGATGATAGTCACAGAGCTGAGTTGGTGTGTCAGTGCAACATTAGTTGACATTAGCCTTGTTTCTATCCAATTGTAATGCAAATTTTGAGCCAATTTTTCATGTTACATGCTGTCCAGAGACGTAGAGTAAAAATTCTCATGAGAGTATCCGGAAAGATGCCGACAGTGGGAACAGCTGATCAATCATGAGGTAAATGTTTGCTACATCATAACTTCTAATGTTTTTCCATCTCTCCATTTGTATATTAACTCTTTTTTGGAAAATCCCAAAAGTGAGTGTGAAAAAAATTGAGTACGTATTTCTAACTCTGCCATTTCCATCAACATTTTCTAACGCGATAGTTCAAAATGCACAAAAAAATAAAACATTGATGGAAACACGGCTAATATGTTCTTGCACTGAGTTTTCTTTGCTGACCACCAGGTCTGTGGTTTTCAGTGTTGCCAGTTGCTTTGTGTTTTTTCAAAAGATGATGACCAGCACAAGATGAAACCATAATGATTTAAAACCTTTGTTTTGATTGGTAGCTGAGCTCATTCTGGCCTCAGTGTTGGACCTGCTAAATGATCTCTAAAACTTATTCTTGGTAGCAGAGTTTTGCACACAGTTTAACTCTTCCTACAGTTGTTTCCTTCTTAGTAAATGACTGTGTTTAATCTGAAATGATGATTCGTATTATTTGACATTACTGGGTAATATTACAGTTGACTATAACCCTACAATCCCTGACTTTGTGTAAATGTACATTTTAAGAAATGATTGTGTTTTGAAGACTAGGGATGACTACACAGGATCTGATTTTTTTTTTGTTAGCTTATATAGCATTTTTTTAAACTGCTGAAAATGTAAAAACAAAGGCAGTTAATAAAGCAACTGCTTGTGTATATCAGGGTTTGATTGTCTGGTAAAAAAAAATCTTGTGACTTAATGGACGGATTTTAATGAAACTCTCAGAAAGTACTCCGAAGTGATAAACTTTTGGAGTCAACTTCATTCAAAATGGCTGCCACAGCTAACCCAATGTGGCTATAACTTAGTACAGTGGTTCCAACCTTTTAGACTTGTGTACCCCCTGAGCCATTTTGTCATACCACTAGTACCCCTTCAGTCAAATGTAGTGATGATTCTCCAAAACTATAATGTACTACAACTGATTATTAAATGAAAATTATTTATTTAACCTTCTAAAACATTTAATTATCAGACATTTTATTTTTTCACCAGAAATTAAACATAATGATAAAAATGTTGCCTTGAAAGTGAATCAGTAAACAAAAAAGTAAACAAGGTAATGGCAGGTGCAGAAAACAGCAGCATCCAAAATACATTGTCCAAAGTATGTCAGAAACTCACCCAAATGAGCAAATTCTGAATTCCATGTTTTATACTGGATTTGATTTTGTGTTAATTCCATGATTCTGACTGCAATTTCTGCATTGCGGAAATCACAAGGCCCTACTTATCTCAGTCCTATTTTAATAAAGAAAAAATTTACACACATGGGAAATTTTTCCTCGTACCCCCTATAATATGCTTGCGTGCCGCTGGTTGAGAATCACTGCTTTAGACAGTGTCAATGGCTGAAGGAACTGTTCAAGGTTATGAAAGTGCTGGAATGTTTTAGGACCCAGGATGGTGTCATGGCCTGAAGGAACTGTCCAAGGTCCTGAAAGTGCTGGAATGTTTTAGGACCCAGGACGGTGTTAAGGGCTGAAGGAACTGTCCAAGGTCCTGAAAGTGCTGGAATGTTTTAGGACCCAGGACGGTGTTAAGGGCTGAAGGAACTGTCCAAGGTCCTGAAAGCGCTGTAATGTTTTGCGACTCTGGACAGTGTCAAAGGCTTAAGCAACTGTCCAATGTCCTGAAAGTGCTGGAATGTTTCTGGACCTTGAACAGTGTTAAGGGCTTAAGGAACTGTCCATGGTCCAGAAAGTGTTGGAATGTTTTAGGACCTTGAACAGTGTCGAGGGCTGAATGAACTGTCCAAGGTCCTGAAAGTGCTGGAATGTTTTAGGACCCAGGACGGTGTGAAGGGCTGAAGGAACTGTCCAAGGTCCTGAAAGTGCTGGAATGTTTTAGGACCCAGGACGGTGTCAAGGGCTGAAGGAACTGTCCAAGGTCCTGAAAGTGCTGGAATGTTTTAGGACCCTGGACAGTGTCAAGGGCTTAAGGAACTGTTCGTGGTCTTGAAAGTTGGTTCAAAGCTCATAGGCTGAAACTTGGTGTGGTAGTAGCTAAGAGTTATCTCCAACAAATACTCTGACTCTGACTTGCGTGGCACATTCAAGGAATGACACTTTTCATTTTGAAGCTATTCTTAACTGTACAGCACTTTTTTCTGCCTGTGCTTGCCCAAACTTTTGCACCATATTATAAAAGACAATAAAAAAACTTCATCTTAACTTTGTTCAAAGTCTTTTAGGTTTTCACAATCTGCTTGTTGCATGTTTTTTAATGAGCACGACATAACGCTGACACTTGGTTCCACCAAGGGTGGACTGGACAAAGCCGAACAAAACTGAGCAAATCCTTGCAAGTCTGAATCACACCTCTCCTTTTTTCCTTCTTTCTCGTCGCAGCTTCAACACCACTCACAATGTGTGGCATGAGAGCTCAGCACTCTTCATTCCCTGAACCTCCCCTCCTTCCTCCCCTTCGGCCTGTGTGCAATAGATAAGACATGATTACAGAAATGAGAATATGGAGCAGGAAGCAAACCAAGTCAGAGGAGGCGAGGGGTGAAGATAGCAGGTGGGGAGGGAGGGAGAAGGTGGCAGGGATGTAGAGATAGCAAAGCTCCAGGACAGAAAAGAGAAAAAAAGGGAGGTGATGGTGGCCGAGGGGCAAAGCGAGCGGAGAAGAGATGAGGAAATAGAAGAGATGGGCCACGGGGATCAGGAGATAAGGCTGAATCATCTTTTAAGTGATGACCTTAAAAACACACACTCAGCTGGATGCCAAACCCTGGGGCCTTGACTTGCGAGTGCATCGGAGTGTGTGTAGGTGTTTTCATTTGGCCGTGTGCTTCAGGATGCTGCGGCCCTCTCTGCGTTTACAAAAGCGGAGAGTGGCCCGTTTAGCATGACGAAGCTGATGTTAGCTTTCATCTTTCTGTAAAAGAAGTGGCACCAAATGGAAGACACACACACGACAAACTCATGCACGAGGTTGTGAGGCGTCCTCTTCTGCTGTTATGTTAATTAAAACCATACAAAATGTGAAAGGAATTACTCAAGGTAACAAACCCCTTTTGTTACCTTGTACAATATATTAAATCTGGGAACGTTAAATGATAAGTTAATTATTATTCTTCCCATCCATTCTCACAAAAATATAAAAGAAACACTAACACTGGACTCACCATCTCCTGTTTTTAATCACAAATTAAAACTCTTCTTTTCAAACAGGCATATTCAGTTTAACCTGCATCTCTAATCAACTCTTTTTAAGTTATGATTTATTTGTTGTTTTTATTCTTTTTTTCTACTGCATTTTATATTGTATTTTAATTGCACGCTGTCCTTGAGTGCCATGAAAAGTGCCTTCAAATTAAATGTATTCAATTAAACAAAGATCTTTTCAAATATTGGTGTGTTAAAAAGAATCACTGCTGTTTATTAAAGATACTGACACCAGACATAACAATACACACACACACACACACACACACACACACACACACACACACACACACNCACACACACACACACACACACACACACACACACACACACACACACACACACACACAGGTGTTTTTAATACAGATAAGTAGTCAAATCAAGCATTATATTTCTCTAATAGACACCCTTTACCTTTCATGCCAGTTATAGTTGTCAGATTTCAAAATCAGTGTCATGCAGAATCTTTCACGTGGTCGGTTAGCACTCAAAGGATATGTTGAGAATGACTCAGCTACTACCACCCCACATTTTACCTCATCTGTAAAAATGACTGAGTTGTGTTTGCTATGGACCATTAGAATGGCAGCCATCTTTATGTAGGTTGTTTCCTACATGTAGTCAGTCGTAGATGTACAAGCAATGATTATTTTCTGAGAGTTTCAGTCAAATCCATCCAGTGGTCTGTGACATACAGTATTTTGCTAGCACGGCACTGAAATTAAAAAAACACAGACACAAATATTTATGCTGTCATTTTGACTCCTGTTGGGGTCTATAAGGGGAGTTTTCTTGACTTTGTGGAGTTTGTCCTGACCGTGATTGGCACAGTCCCTGGGTGTGGGCGGAGTTTGGTAATACCATGACTGGTTGGATTGACTTGGGAGGTTGAGGTTAAAAGATGAAGTAATGATAAACAGTAAAATAACTGTGAACTTGTGAACATATTTTACTGACTACAAATTTGGTGCCACCATCACCTTCATGTCTTGGTATGACTAAAATTTATGTTCATATTTAAAGTTTTAGCTACTTTCTGGCCATGTTGATCAAATTGTTATGGCTTCTTCAAACACCACCCAAAACAGTTCAACCAATCATGACAAACTCCTCCCACACACCAAGGACCTCCCACTTAGTGACCACAGGGACCCTCTTCTCCCATTTCATGCAGGTGATAAAGTTATTGAAATGAGTGTAAAATGTACAAACATATGAAATGTACATAAAGTTGTATGGGTGTCCAGTTCACCAGTACCTGTGACATGGGGGTGAAGATGTTGTTTTCAGTACAAATTTAATCAAAAACTCAAAAATAAACGGCTTTCTTATCTTTTTCCTGCTAATTTCTGTCATCTTATTTTAAATCAGATCAGATTCATCTGCTCTAACCCCACTTCACCCAAGCTGCTCTTGTGCTTGTTGGTGTTAAACTACCATTGTTATAATTATTTTCAACTCATTTGTTCCTGTTACACTGCATGACAGAGGCTTATTACATTCAACGTAATCAACTGGTGGCTCTTGGGCTATATCTGGCCTGTAAGTTTAACAATGAGACACAAATCATTCAATTATTAAGACAGTACACACAATCAAAAACAGGAATTAGTTGACATAAAAAATTTTTCATATCCTAAATTGTGAGTTTTTGGGTGATACTAAGTTGTATGTTTGGTGCTAGAGTCAGAACACTAGAGATATGTGGTTGGACTATCAAAATAAAAGTCCAACAACTCATTAGCAGGCTGTTGCCTTGTCAATCACAGTGTAATCTGACACTTTTATGACTGATTATCTTGACACAAAGCACAAAACGTAGCATGCTAATTTCAGCTGGTATTCTGTGAGCGCTGAGTCAGCATTCACAATATTGATTTCTTGTACATTTTGTTTTGTTTGCTTTTTCATTTGTAATTAAACATTGTCTTACTGTGCCATGTATGTAATATCTATCTATCTATCTATCTATCTATCTATCTATCTATCTATCTATCTATCTATCTATCTATCTATCTATCTATCTATC